GGTCAGACTCCCCACTGTAGTATCATATGCCTCTCCTTTTAGGCATTTATTATGGTTGCAACTTTATTAATGATTCTAATTAGTTTCTCTTCTACAATTATAACCTCCATTAGTTTCTCTTCTGCAATTATAACCTCCGTCCGGCCAGAGACTTGTCCATTTATGCTCACCCTGCTTTGTAGCACCCAATGCTTAACACATATTAAATGCTCGATAATGTTGGGCGAAGTGGCTCATGCCTCTAATCCCAGCACTTTGGGAGGCTGACGCGGGTGGATCACGAGGTCAGGAGTTCAAGACCAGCCTGACCAACATGGTGAAACACCCTCTCTACTAAAAATACAAAAATTAGCCGGGTGTGGTGGCACATGCCTGTAATCCCAGCTACTCAGTAGGCTGAAGCAAAAGAATCACTTGAACCCGGGAGGCAGAGGTTGCAGTGAGCCAAGATTGTACCACTGCACTCCAGCCTGGGTGACAGAGTGAGACTCTGTCTCAGAAAAAAAAAAAAAAAAAAAAAAAAAAAAAAGCTCAGTAAATATTTATGGCACAAGTGGATAAATGGGGTTGCATCAGAATATGTATGTCACATTAAGGACTTTGGACTTCAGGCTGTAGTGGGAAATCACTGTGGAAATTCAGAGAGGGGGTGGCACTATCAGATTTGTTCTAAAGGAAGATCATTCCAGCTGCCCTGTAGAGAAGGGTTGGAATCAGGGAGGCATGTTAGGAGGCTGTGGTAATAGTACAAGCAAGAGATAATGGTGGCCTCACTCTAAGGGCATTAAAAATCAAGACAGGTGAGGCTGGGTGCAGTGGCTCACACCTGTAATCCCAGGACTTTGGGAGGCCAAGGCAGGCAGATAACCAGGAATTTGAGACCAGGCTGGCCAACATGGTGGAACGCTGTCTCTACCAAAACTACAAAAATTAGCTGGGTGTACCGGCTTGCACCTGTAATCCCAGCTCCTCAGGAGGCTGAGGCAGGAGAATCACTTGACCAGGGAGGCAGAGGTTGCAGTGGGCCAAGTTCATGCCACTGCACTCTAGCCTAGGCAACAGAGTGGGACTCCATCTCAGGAAAAAAAAAAAAAAAGACAAGTGGACTATATTGGCAGATTATTGGCTAGCATTCACTTATTCTACCACAGTCATGTACTCGCTCCCTCAGGGATGGTAGTGACAGTCTTATTTCCTATTGATGCAGGATTTTTTTCCTTGATTCCTTCGTGGGACTCAGGACGGGGCACCCTGTTTACTCAGCCCACTGCGCTCAGCCTCTTGCAGGAGTGTGCAGGTAAGCAAGCAAGTGCAGGATCTGGCTGGCCACTACCAGCACCAGCACGAGCAAGCTCTATGCGGGGCCTGTGACCAGAGCAGGCATGAGCAAATGACTGCAGGATCTAGCTGGCTGCTCTGGGCAGCTTCAGGAGCAAGCTCCATTTGGGGTCTGTGGTGGTGCCCAAGTGGGGGTGCCTGTGACCCCAAAGCCCCAGAGGGGGTGTTACAGTGCTCTCTTAGTGCCACTGTTTGAGGATGGCTGTGTGTTTTTTTTTTGTTTTGTGTTTGTTTTTTTTTTTTTTGAGACGGAGTCTCGCTCTGTTGCCCAGGCTGGAGTGCAGTGGCCAGATCTCAGCTCACTGCAAGCTCCGTCTCCCGGGTTCACGCCATTCTCCTGCCTCAGCCTCTCAAGTAGCTGGGACTACAGGCGCCCGCCACCTCGCCTGGCTAGTTTTTTGTACTTTTTTTAGTAGAGATGGGGTTTCACCGTATTTACCAGGATGGTCTCGATCTCCTGACCTTGTGATCCGCCCGTCTCGGCCTCCCAAAGTGCTGGGATTACAGGCTTGAGCCACCGCGCTCGGCCGGCTGTGTGTTAACAGCTCAGCTGGCCCCTAGCCTCATTGTGTGGGGTGGCTACCCACCACCAGTGAGGGCAAAGAGCGGGTGTGACAGCCTTTTGGGGAGCCAAACTTGGTGGGTCCCGAGCTCTTGTCTGGCATACAAGAAGAATGAGGTTGTGTGGAACACTTGAAGGATGATGAAGGTGGAGAATTTTATAGAGTGGTCACAATGGCTATCAGTGGAGAGGGGAGCTAGAGAGGGGATAGAAAGGGCCGGTCATCTTCTCCCCAAAGTCTGGCTATCTCTTCCCAAAAGTCTGGCCATCTCTCTCATCTACTGACTGAGTATGGGGTCTTTATAGGCACAGAATGAGGGTGGGGCGGCCATAGATAGTTTTGGAAAGGGCAACATTCAATTGGTAAGAAGACATTATTCAGAAAGAACCAACTAGGAGGGAGCAAGCAAAGAGGAATAGAAGTTCTTACTTTGGGCTGTGGGTTTCAGGCTTTTCGGCTCAAAGGTGGGGTTTCACTGGGGGCCTGCCACATCTGCTTAGAATGTCTCAACTTCCTGTCCTGCCTCTATCACTATCAAATATTTGTATGAAGAAACCTCTCCTAAGCCACATTCCAATCACCCCTCTTCCTCCTAGAGATTATCAGACTCTGACTTTCTCAGCTTTGGTCCTCTTGGAGTTTGGTTCTTTAGCTGTTTAAAATCTTATGAAGGCAAACTTTGATCATTTAGGCTCTTTTCTCAAAGTTCCAAAGTAGACGGCTCCTTAACAGGTAGGTTTTATTTTACAGAATTCAGGTTTACAAACTGCACACTACTACATTAGCTTCTGCTACCTATCAAAGCTTTGAATAGGTGGGCTTTCATTTCATGGATTATCTGATTATCTGAAGGTTAACTCTTTGTCCTCCTTCAGCCCCCACTGGACTGTAAATTCTTTGAACAATGACTGTCTTTCTTTGGCCCCATCTAATTATGGACCCTGGCACATACTAAACAGTCACTAAGTAATTCTTAAATAACTTTTATTTCCACATTCACAGTTGAAAACATTCCGTAGTGTAACAAAAATTTCAATCGTTCAAAAGTCCAGTACCCTTAGTTTGATTCAAGCTCCATCAAAGATGAATTGGTTAGTTTTTAATCTGCAGTTTACAAGTAATAGTTCATATTTCAAAAAGCCTAACATAGGTGATAGGTTTGCCCACAAAAGGGATAAAAAGGCTAATGAAAATGTTTAATTATTTGCTTTGGGCTGGAATTTTAGTACCTAGGTCTGCCTACATGGTGCCAGTCAGAAGCATGATTTGTGTTGTACATGCCTTTATGTAGCAAAATATAATTATTTAATAAATGCAGTTTGGTAAACATAATCTTTTAAAACACAGGACATAGGGGAGTAAAAAGAAGGCCTTGGTGATTAAAAAGTTGGAAACCACTGCATTAAATTACCTTCAAATCCCTTTAGGTATCCTGTTTATCCTTATAAACATTAGCTCTCACTGTACAGCATCATAAAAAGTAAAAGAGTTAGACTTTTTTTTTTTTTTTTTTTTTTGGGATGGAGTTTCACTCTTGTTGCCCAGGCTGGAGTGCAGTGGCGCGATCTTAGCTCACTGCAACCTCCGCCTCCCAGATTCAAGTGATTCTCCTGTCTTAGTCTCCCAAGTAGCTGGGACTACAGGCATGCCCCCCCATGCCCAGCTAATTTTTGTGTTTTTAGTAGAGACAGGGTTTTACTATGTTGGCCAGGTATAGTAACTCCTCGTGATCAACTCCTGACCTCGTGATCCACCCACCTCGGCCTCCCAAAGTGCTGGAATTACAGGTATGAGCCACCACACCTGGCCTCCACTCCTTACTTTCACAGGGTTTTTTCCCACATTTAAACTTGTCACTCGACTAGGAAGTCAAGATTGAAATGGCTCTTTCCATGAATAATTGAGTTTTGGGGTTGTTGCCAAAGCGATTTATAATGATTTTAATAATGATAGACATCCCCTGACACATTGGTGCAGTGGCTCATGCCTGTAATCCCAACCCTTTGAGAGGCTGAGGAGGGAGGACTGCTTGTGCCCAGGAGTTCAAGACCAGCCTGGGCAACATAGTGAGACCTCGTCTCTTTGTATTTTAAAAAAATAAATAATTTTAAAAATTGTATCATTGGGACCATATTCTAGTGTCAATTCTAGAAAAAAATTGACAGAAAAAAAAAGGTGATTACATTCAAGAGCTTTTAGCTTTTCCACTTGATTATACTTACGTAAATCTTTGAAAACTCCAGCAGGAATTTTCTATGCTTTCCTACCTTTACATGGTTTTCCTAATAAAACCCATCTGTAGTGCAATAAGATGTGGTCTCCATCAGGCTTTTTGTAGTTTTACTATATTCATTAGGTTTCTGCTATCTATTAGAATAGGTCCTGTTTGTAGACTCTCTTACAGTCCTCAAATTCCTTTCCAATGTGAAGTTTCTGGTGTTTAAGAAAAGCTGTCCGCCCACTGAAGGCCTTACCACAGTTGCTACATTCAAAGGGTTTCTCTCTGGTATGAATTCTTTGATGACCGATAAGGTGTGCGTTCCGACTGAAGACCTTCCCACATTCAGGGCATTCATAGGGTTTCTCTCCTGTATGAATACGATGGTGTCTAATAAGATCTGAGCTTCCCCTAAAAGATTTCCCACATTTGGTGCATACGTAAGGTTTTTCTCCACTGTGAATTCTATGATGTTTCAGAAGGTCTGAGCTCTGACTGAAAGTTTTCCCACATTCTTTACATTCGTAGGGTTTCTCTCCTGTATGAGTTACCTGATGTGTGATGAAGTCTGAGCTGCCCTGGAAATTCCTACCACACTGCTTACACCAATAAGCTTTCTCTTCCTGGTGAGTTCTCTGCTCTCTCCTAAGCTCCTCATCCTTGCTAAAGGTTTTCTCACATTCAAGTTTCTCTGCAGTATGCAATCTCTGATGTTTGAGGAAAGCCGTGCGCCACATGAAGAGTTTCCCACATTCCTTACATTCATAGGGCTTCTCACCACTGTGAATTCTCTGATGTTGAATAAGGAGGGAACGCCACCTGAAAGCTTTCCTACATTCAGTGCACTGATAGGGCTTCTCTCCAGTATGGATTTTCTGGTGTGTAACAAGGTGTGATCTCTGGCTGAAGGATTTCCCACATTCACTACATTCATGAGGTTTCTCTCCAGTATGAACACGATGGTGTTTAATAAGATCTGAGCTACCCCTGAAAGATTTCCCACATTTGGTGCATACATAAGGTTTTTCTCCACTGTGAATTCTGTGATGTCTCACAAGGTGTGAGCTCCGATTGAAAGTTTTCCCACATTCTTTACATTCATACGGTTTCTCTCTTGTATGAGTTACCTGATGTCTGATGAGGTCTGAGCTGCCCTGGAAAGTCCTACCACACTGATTACACAAATAAACTTTCCTTTCCTGGTGAAGTCTCTGCTCTTCCCTAAGCTCCTCATCCTTGCTGAAGGTTTTCTCACATTCTTCAAGTTTCTCTCTAGCATGCAGTCTCTGATGTTTGAGGAAACCTGTGCGCCACATGAAGAGTTTCCCACACTCCTTACATTCATAGGGTTTCTCACCACTATGAATTCTCCGATGTTGAATAAGGAGGGAATGCCGCCTGAAGGCACTCCCACATTCATTGCACTGATAGGGCTTCTCTCCAGTATGGGTTTTCTGGTGTGTAGCAAGGTGTGACCTCTGGCTGAAGGATTTCCCACATTCACTACATTCATAGGGTTTCTCTCCGGTGTGAATACGATGGTGTTTAATAAGATCAGAGCTACCCCTAAAAGATTTCCCACATTTGGTGCATACATAAGGTTTTTCTCCACTGTGAATTCTATGATGTCTCAGAAGGTCTGAGCTCTGATTGAAAGTTTTCCCACATTCTTTACATTCATACGGTTTCTCTCCTGTATGAGTTACCTGATGTCTGATGAGGTCTGAGCTGCCCTGGAAATTCCTACCACACTGATTACACAAATAAGCTTTCTCTTCCTGGTGAGTTCTCTGCTCTTCCGTAAGCTCTTCACCCTTGCTGAAGGTTTTCTCACATTCAAGTTTCTCTCCAGCATGCAATCTCTGATGTTTGAGGAAAGCCGAGCACCAAATGAAGAGTTTCCCACATTCCTTACATTCATAGGGCTTCTCACCACTGTGAATTCTCCGATGTTGAATAAGGAGGGAACGCCGTCTGAAGGCATTCCCACATTCATTGCACCGATAGGGCTTCTCTCCAGTATGGATTTTCTGGTGTGTAACAAGGTGTGACCGCTGGCTGAAGGCTTTCCCACATTCCCTACATTCATGGGGTTTCTCTCCAGTATGAATACGATGGTGTCTAGTAAGATCTGAGATGCCCCTAAAAGATTTCCCACATTTGCTACATACACAAGGTTTTTCTCCACTGTGAATTCTATGATGTCTCAGAAGGTCTGAGCTCTGATTGAAAGTTTTCCCACATTCTTTACATTTATACGGTTTCTCTCCTGTATGAGTTACCTGATGTGTGATGAGGTCTGAGCTGCCCTGGAAATTCCTACCACACTGCTTACACCAATAAGCTTTTTCTTCCTGGTGAAGTCTCTGCTCTTCTGTAAGCTCCTCATCCTTGCTGAAGGTTTTCTCACATTCTTCAAGTTTCTCTCCAGCATGCAGTCTCTGATGTTTGAGGAAAGCTGTGCGCCCACTGACGGTCTTCCCACGTTTGTGACATTCATAGGGTTTCTCTCCACTGTGGAGTCTCTGGTGTTCAGTAAGGTGAGAATGCTGCCTGAAGGCTTTTTCACATTCATTACACTTGAGGGGTTTCTCTCCAGTGTGAATTCTCTGATGTGTGACAAGGTGTGAACTTTGACTGAAGGCCTTCCCACATTTATTGCATAAATATGGCTTCCCCACACTGTGGATTCTCTGGTGTAGGACAAGGTTTGAGCTTCCCTTAAAAGCCTTCCCACACTCTTTGCACTCATAGGGATTCCCGCCACTGTGAATTTGCTTATGTCTCACCAGATTAGAGCTCTGATTGAAGTCTTTTCCACATTCATGACATATATAAGGTTTCTTTCCTGTATTAATTCTCTGATGTATAAGATTTGAACTTTGATTAGAGTCTTTCCCACATTCATTACACACATATGGTTTATTTCCAGGATGAATTCTCTGATGTATTATCAGGTTTGAACACCTGTTGAAGGTTTTTCCACATTCCTTACATTCATAGGTCTTATTTATATTATGAATTTTCTGATGTTCAGTTAATCCTGACTTATGTTTGAAGTTTTGGCCACTAACCTCATATCTATGGGAGCTTTCTCCTGCAGAAAGTATTTTTTCTCCTTCATTACATCCATGGCCAATCTCTCCCACAATGGCTTTCTTGGGGATAATACGCATTTCCCTGATACCTCTCTCTTGGGAAGGGAGATGTCTCACTGCATCCTTTAAAGGGCTTACCCAGTGCTTCAATAATCTGTCCTCAGAATTACTGGTTTCAACTAACTCACATTCCTGGGTGATCTGTCTTTGGAGTTTTTCGGATGCAGCCCTCGCTGACTTCTTTTCTTCAGAAATTTCCATCTTTGATTTTCGTTCCTTCATCTTATTCCTGTTTTCAGAATCTGAAATGATAAGTAGATCATTCTATGATTCCTAAAATACAAATATCACCTCTTCACTATGCTGGGCAGTCTAAGAGGGAGGAACAAAGAACTCAGAAGACCTTTCCCTGCCAAAGCTGACATGTGGACTTCACTAGAGACACTGTGGCTATCACAGGAACCTCTGCTACCACATACCCTGTTGGTAAAGAAACCTGCCAGGGTGCAGGCTGGAGCTGGGCTGTGGGAGTGGCCTAAAGGGTGGTGAATTAATTCACTGGGGGAGGAGGGCAATCTGGAGTTGGTCCACAGGAAGTGGCCTGTTGGATGGGGGAGGAACTTGCTAGATGGTGTGGCTGGGCCTGAACTGGTTCACAGGAAGCAGCCCACTAGGGTGAGTGCCACCAGGCCTTCCACAAGTTGATCTGCTAGCAGCCACATCAGTAAATAATTAAAATCAACAAATAAAAATAGAACAGCACACTGGTACCAGGAAAATAAGTTAGTTTCTCTTCCTATGGCCATGCATTGTCCCTCCAGCATCCGCTGTTGACAAAGTCTAAATCTCGTACCAACTGGCAAAGGAAAAATGTTTACAGAATCCAGCTTTGTAACACAAGCAAACGAAGATGGTGGATTTGGAGTTGAGAGGCAATAAATTAATAACTAGCATACTGCTTGTTCCTCCCAATATACCATGATAGTTATGTGAATCTGTACTATGCCTCAGAATAAAAATAATTGGCTGTCATTTCAATAGAAACCAATTCTCTTTTTCTCAGACCTCACATTTTTCTTTCTGATATTCTGATGAAATTGCCTCTTTTTGTATGGCAATTTTATTTCTTCTGAAATTACAAGATAGATGAGCTTATTGCTTTTGAGTGTCCATGTTATCAAATCCCTGACCTTCCCCAGTGGATTAGTTCATTTTCATGTGGCTGATAAAGGCATACCTGAGACTGGAGAGAAAAAGAGGTTTAATTGGACTTATAGTTCCACATGGCTGGGAAGGCCTCAGGATCATGGTGGGAGGTGAAAGGCACATCTTACATGGCGGTGGCAAGAGAAAATGAGGAAGATGCAAAAGCAGAAACCCACGATGAAACCATCAGATCTCATGAGACTTATTCACTACCATGAGAATAGGGGGGAAACTGCCCCCATGATTCAAATTATCTCTCCCCATGTCCCTCCCACAAAATGTGGGATTTATGGGAGTACAATTCAAGATGAGATTTGAGTGGGGACACAGAGCCAAACCACATCATTCTGCCCCTGGCCCCTCCAAATCTTATGTCCTCACATTTCAAAATCAATCATGCCTTCCCAACACTCCCCCTAAGTCTTAACTCATTTCAGCATTAACCCAAAAATCCACAGTTCAAAGTCTCATCAGAAACAAGGCAAATCCCTTCTGCCTATGAGTCTGTAAAGTCAGAAGCAAGCTAGTTACTTCCTAGATACAATCGGTACAGGTATTGTTGGGTAAATACAGCTGTTCCAAATGGGAGAAATTGGCCAAAACAAAGGGGTTACAGGGCCCATGCAAGTTGAAATCCAGCAAGGCAGTCAAATTTTAAACCTCCAAAATGATCTCATTTGACTCCAGGTCTCACATCCAGGTCATGCTGATGCAAAAAGTGGGTTCCCATGGTCTTGGGCACCTCCACCCCTGTGGCTTTGCAGGGCACAGCCTCACTCCTGGCTGCCTTCACAGGCTGGTGTTGAGTGTCTGCGGCTTTTCCAGGCGTATGGTGCAAACTGTAGGTGGATCTACCATTCTGGGGTCTGGAGGTCATTGGCCCTCTTCTCACAGCTCCACTAGAAGGTGCCCAAGCAGGGACTCTATATGGCGGCTCCAACCCCATATTTCCCTTCTGCAGTGCCCTAGCAGAGGTTCTCCATGACATCCCTGCCCCTGCAGCAAACTTCTGGCTGGGCATCCAAGCGTTTCCATACATCTCTGAAATCCAGGTGGAAGTTCCCAAACCTCAGTTCTTGACTTCTGTGCACCTAAAGACAACACCATGTAGAAACTGCCAAGGCTTGGGGCTTGCACCCTGTGAAGCCGCAGTTCGAGCTCTATCTACATTGGCCCCTTTCAGCCATGGCTGGAGTGGCTGGGATGCAGCACACCAGGTCCCTAGGCTGGACACAGCATGGGGACCCTGGGCCTGCCCCACAAAACCATTTTCTCCTAGGCCTCCAGGCCTGTGATGGGAGGGGGGTGCTGTGAAGACTTCTGATATGCCCTGGAGACATTTTCCCCATTGTCTTGGGGATTAACATTCAGCTTCTTGTTACTTAGGCAAATTTCTGCAGCCTGATTGAATTTCTCCTCAGAAAATGGGTTTTTCTTTTTTATCACATTGTCAGGCTGCAAATTTTCTGAACTTTTATGCTCTGCTTCCCTCATAAAACTGAATCCCTTTAATAGGACCCAAGTCACATCTTGAATGTTTTGCTGCTTAGAAATTTCTTCCACCAGATACCCTAAATCATCTCTCTCAAGTTCAAAGTTCCACAAGTCTGTAGGGCAGCGGCGAAATGCCACCAGTGTCTTTGCTAAAACATAACAAGAGTCACCTCTGCTCCATTTCCTGACAAGTTCCGCATCTCCATCTGAGACCACCTCAGCCTGGACCTTTTTGTCTATATTGCTGTTAGGCTTTTGGTCAAAGTCACTCAACAAGTGTGGGGAAAAGAAAGAGAGATCATACTGTAACTGTGTCTATATAGAAAGAAGTAGATATAAGAGACTCCATTTTGTTCTGTATTTGAGATGCTGTTAATCTGTAACCCTACCCCAACCCTGTCCTTGCAAGAGACATGTGCTGTGGTGACTCAAGGTTTAGCGGATTTTGGGCTGTGCAGGATGTGCTTTGTTAAACAAGTGCCTGAAGGCAGTATGCTTGTGAAAAGTCATCACCATTCTCTTAATCTCAAGTACCCAGGGACACATACGCTGCGGAAGGTTGCAGGGACCTCTGCCTAGGAAAACCAGGTAGTGTCCAAGGTTTCTCCCCATGTGATAGTCTGAAATATGGCCTCATGGGAAGGGAAGGACCTAATGGTCCCCTGGCCTGACACCTGTGAAGGGTCTGTGACTGAGGAGGATTAGTGTAAGAGGAAAGAAGGCCTCTGGGCAGTTGAGATAGAGAAAGGCATCTGTCTCCTGCCTGTCCATGGGCAATGGAACCTCTTGGTGTAAAACCCGATTGTATGTTCTATTTACTGAGATAGGAGAAAACTGCCTTAGGGCTGAAGGTGGGACTTGCCTAGTGGCAATGCTGCTCTTTATGCACTAAAAAGGTTTATGGAGATGTTTGTATATGCATATCAAGGCACAGCACTTTTCCTTAAACTTACCCATGTCACAGAGATCTTTATTCAAATGTCTTTCTGCTGACCTTCTCCCTACTATGATCCTATTGTTCTGCCACTTCATTTTTCTGAGATGGTAAAGATAATGATCGATAAATAATGAGGGAACTCAGAGACCAGTGCCGGTGCGGGTCCTCTGTATGCTGAGCGCCGGTCCCCTGGGCCCACTTTTTCTTTCTCTATACTTTGTCTGTGTCTCATTTCTTTTCTCAAGTCTCTTGTTCCACCTGATGCCCACAGGTGTGGAGGGGCAGACCACCCCTTCAACAACTCTCTATGAAGTTCCAAACTTTCCCACATTTTCCTGTCTTCTTCTGAGCCCCCCATACTGTTCCAGCCTTTGCCTGTTATGGAGCTCCAAAATTGCTTCCACATTTGGGTGTCTTTTCAGCAGCACCTCTGGTACCAATTTGCTATATTAGTCTGTTTTCACGCTGCTGATGAAGACATACCTGAGACTGGGAAAGAGGTTTAATTGAACTTACAGTTCTACATGGCTTGAGAGGCCTCAGAATTATGGCAGGAGGCAAAAGGCACTTCTTACATGGTGGCGGCAAGAGAAAGTGAGGAAGATGCAAAAACAGAAACCAATGATAAAACCATCAGGTCTCATGAGACTTGTTCACTACCACGAAAACAGTATGGGGGAAACCATCCCCATGATTCATATCATCTCCCACAACATGTGGGAATTACGGAAGTACAATTCAAGATGAGATTTGGGTGGGGACACAGAGCCAAACCATATCAGTCAGTCACAAAAACACATTTCTGAGCTCCTTGGGAGCGTGGTCCTGCTGATAGGGACTCTAGTCATTAATCTTCTTGCAGTGAATGAGCAGCAACATGGCACAGTGATTAAGAGCATGGACTGAAGGGCAAACTGCCTGAGTTTGAAACCTGGCTCCACCACTTAATGATGGTGAGACCTCAGGCAAATCACAGAGCTCTCAGTGCCCCAGTCTCCTCATCTATAAAATGGACATAATGATAGTATTTACTTCATAGACTTGTTATGAGAATCAAACACATACAAATATACATAAAACATTTAGAACAGTGCTTTGCATATAGAAAGCACTATGCGTCAGCTGCTGTTGTTACTATTATTATTAATATTTACCCTTTAAATATTAAGTAATATGTCCCTAGAACAAAAAAAGGCTGGATTTCCTTCTTTTTTTTTTTTTAGAGCTATGGTATCACTATGTTGCCCAGGCTGGTCTCACACTCCTGGGGTCAGGCAATCCTCCTGCCTTGGACTCCCAAAATGCTGGGATTGCAGGTGTGAGTCACTGCACCTGGCCTTGGATTTCATTTAAATACCATACCCTCTCCTGCAACTGAAAGACAGTGGGCTTACTGCTTTTGGGTGTCCATATTATCAAATCCCCAACCTTTATTATTGGAAAGAATTGGCTTTGTCATAATTTTCCCTTAAAGAGTATAGTGGTTTTTTTCCTTTTGGTTTGACATATATATATTTTTTCCAAAATTCAGAAGCAGATTACTATTTAAAAGATGGTAGATTAAAGGCTGTCCAATTTTTTTTTTTTTTAACAAAAAACTTGTGATCTGAAGGGCTTTTATTGTGTCATACTGAACTCTTGAAAGCCAAAAGTTCAAGGAAGGTG